CCAAGACCAAGACCAGGACCAGGACCAGGACCAAGACCAGGACCAAGACCAGGACCAAGACCAGGACCAGGACCAGGACCAAGACCAAGACCAAGACCAAGACCAAGACCAGGACCAGGACCAGGACCAGGACCAAGACCAAGACCAAGACCAGGACCAGGACCAGGACCAGGACCAGGACCAAGACCAAGACCAAGACCAGGACCAGGACCAGGACCAGGACCAGGACCAGGACCAGGACCAGGACCAGGACCAAGACCAGGACCAGGACCAGGACCAGGACCAGGACCAGGACCAAGACCAGGACCAGGACCAGGACCAGGACCAGGACCAGGACCAGGACCAAGACCAAGACCAGGACCAGGACCAGGACCAGGACCAGGACAGGACCAGGACCAAGACCAGGACCCAGACCAAGACCAGGACCAGGACCAGGACCAGGACCAAGACCAGGACCAGGACCAGGACCAGGACCAGGACCAGGACCAGGATCAGGACCAAGACCAGGACCAAGACCAGGACCAGGACCAGGACCAGGACCAGGACCAAGACCAAGACCAGGACCAAGACCAGGACCAGGACCAGGACCAAGACCAAGACCAAGACCAGGACCAAGACCAGGACCAGGACCAGGACCAAGACCAAGACCAAGACCAGGACCAAGACCAGGACCAGGACCAGGACCAAGACCAGGACCAGGATCAAGACCAGGACCAGGATCAAGACCAGGACCAAGACCAGGACCAGGATCAAGACCAGGACCAGGACCAGGACCAAGACCAGGACCAAGACCAGGACCAAGACCAGGACCAAGACCAGGACCAAGACCAGGACCAAGACCAGGACCAGGACCAGGACCAGGACCAAGACCAGGACCAGGACCAGGACCAAGACCAGGATCAAGACCAGGACCAGGACCAAGACCAGGACCAAGACCAGGATCAAGACCAGGACCAAGACCAGGACCAAGACCAGGACCAAGACCAGGACCAGGACCAGGACCAAGACCAGGACCAGGACCAGGACCAAGACCAGGATCAAGACCAGGACCAGGACCAAGACCAGGACCAAGACCAGGATCAAGACCAGGACCAAGACCAGGACCAGGACCAAGACCAGGACCAGGACCAGGACCAGGACCAAGACCAAGACCAGGACCAAGACCAGGACCAGGACCAGGACCAAGACCAAGACCAAGACCAGGACCAAGACCAGGACCAGGACCAGGACCAAGATCAGGACCAGGATCAAGACCAGGACCAGGATCAAGACCAGGACCAAGACCAGGACCAGGATCAAGACCAGGACCAGGACCAGGACCAAGACCAGGACCAAGACCAGGACCAAGACCAGGACCAAGACCAGGACCAAGACCAGGACCAAGACCAGGACCAAGACCAGGACCAGGACCAGGACCAGGACCAAGACCAGGACCAGGACCAGGACCAAGACCAGGATCAAGACCAGGACCAGGACCAAGACCAGGACCAAGACCAGGATCAAGACCAGGACCAAGACCAGGACCAGGACCAAGACCAGGACCAAGACCAGGACCAAGACCAGGACCAGGATCAAGACCAGGACCAGGACCAAGACCAGGATCAAGACCAGGACCAGGACCGGGACCAAGACCAGGACCAAGACCAGGACCAGGACCAAGACCAGGACCAGGACCAAGACCAGGACCAAGACCAGGACCAAGACCAGGACCAAGACCAGGACCAAGACCAGGACCAGGACCAAGACCAGGACCAGGATCAAGACTAGGATCAAGACCAGGATCAAGACCAGGATCAGGACCAGGACCAGGATCAAGACCAGGACCAAGACCAGGACGTTTATGGACTAAATATTGAGTTTGGTTTGAGAAGATTTCCCATTTTTGCCAAAGCAGTCTCCGTCTCATAAAGAGTGTTATTTTGTCCCGATCTTCTCTCGACGATGGGACTTTTATTTTCTTTAATTTAATTCTCTTTATTCTCCTCGGAACAACAAGGAAGTGACGAATCCGTGAAAGAGTTCAAATGACGGGTTTCTGTTTCTGACGCAGCAGCTACAACGACTTAAAGCGGCGCCGTTTGTCCTGGTGCCCATGAGCAAGACACGTCACCCGACTATCATCAAGCAGTCGTTTCTGTCGGTCTGTCCCAGGGCAGCTGTGGCTTCACTTTCCCTTAATCCCCTGAAAAGCGACTCCAAAGTGACAGCACTCCCGGGTCTTTCAGAAACAACAGATAATTCAGCCTTTTCGTTTGTGGATTCTCAAAAACATGGATAAAGAGAAGAGGATCATGGACTGAACCAAACCGACGCTGGAAAGTTGAAAATAACCCGTATGTGCCAATTAAAGCAGATGGAGGCGATATTCTCTTCTCTTTCAGTGAAAACCCAAAACAGACGCAGCACATATTTCTCTGAATCACCAAATAGATTGAATTTCTAAATGGTGTTTTTTCGCCGCCTGCTTTTTCATTAGGGACTAGATTAAACAACTCATTTTGGCAACGACAGAAAACATCAATAGACGTTTATGAGGACATAAGCGTCGTACATCGGAGACTTTGTTCAGAGCGACCTTCCAGAACATTCTGTACAGATGGATTTGGTGTTTTGGGTCCGGCTCACAGGGAAAAGACTTTGAAAAAACGGCTTTTGATGTAAAAATGAGGTGGTTTTCTGAGGTCGGGCTGAGAGCGGTGGTTGTGAGGAGCTTAAGACATAATAAACTGATAAGAATCTAAAATGGAAAAGGTTTGGAAGAAGTTTGAAGCCGTGAAGATGCAGTCAGTGAATTGACCAGATGCCTATAGTCTACAAAAATCAATAAAACATATTTTGGAGCGGGCCGATAAAAATAAACCAATGGGATTCGTTCATCTCCAACGAACCAATGGGATGAGTTTACCCCCTTCACCCTCTTCCTGTTTCTCTGAGTGCACCGGAGTTATCAGATTATTTTCTAAAACCTAAAATGGCTGAACAGAAAATGCCAGTTTCACGTTTGCTTCACTTTCTCTGTTGTGACCCCCGTGGACCATGTGACTCTCTGTGGACCATGTGACCCCCGTGGACCATGTGACCCTCGTGGACCATGTGACTCTCTGCGGACCATGTGACCCCCGTGGACCATGTGACCCTCGTGGACCATGTGACTCTCTATGGACCATGTGACCCCCGTGGACCATGTGACCCCCGTGGACCAGGTGACCCTCGTGGACCATGTGACCCCCGTGGACCATGTGACCCCCGTGGACCATGTGACCCTCGTGGACCATGTGACTCTCCGTGGACCATGTGACCCCCGTGGACCATGTGACCCTCGTGGACCATGTGACTCCTGTGGACCATGTGACCCCGTGGACCATGTGACCCTCGTGGACCATGTGACTCTCCGTGGACCATGTGACCCCCGTGGACCATGTGACCCTCGTGGACCATGTGACCTCTGTGGACCATGTGACCCCCGTGGACCATGTGACCCTCCGTGGACCATGTGACCCCCGTGGACCATGTGACCCTCGTGAACCATGTGACCCTTGTGGACCATGTGACCCCCGTGGACCATGTGACCCCCATGGACCATGTGACCCCCGTGGATCATGTGACTCCTGTGGACCATGTGACCCTCGTGGACCATGTGACCCCTGTGGACCATGTGACCCTTGTGGACCATGTGACCCCTGTAGACCATGTGACCCCCGTGGACCATGTGACCCTCGTGGACCATGTGACCCCTGTGGACCATGTGACCCCCGTGGACCAGTGGCTCTGTGTGTCCGGTGTTGGGAGGGGCTGATTCTCTGATCTGTTGTCGGCAAATCCACAACTTTAACAGATTAATGTCTTTTCCTAACTTTCCTCAGAGACTGTTGTGATTTAAGACGATGCACAAACACATTATGTTGAATAATTAAAATATGTGAAGTTTGTCGGTGAGTTTTAGTTGTGAGTCATGTGACCTCCTTCCCTAAGACCAGGTTCTGACGAAAGATCAAACCTCAAACCACAAGAGCCGGAAAATGGTGCATTAGACAAAACCACTGAAACTGAACTCGAAGCAGTTTCATGTTTGTTAAAATGATCCAAAATCTCCTTAAAGTAGAAATATGTCAAAGATTCATGTCCAGTTATCTTTAAAGGGCCCTAATATTTAGACATTATTTAGCCCCTGAATCTTGTTATTGTTTTCATTTCGATGTCCCGCCCTCCACTGTTTCACCAATCAGAAAGTCTGTGATCCGGGCGCCAGAACTCACCGTGTGGAGCTAATCTCACTGGTAAAGTACCATGTGGCGCAGAACTAAAAAAGGTCTCGTTATGATTCTCAAATCATTAACGACAAAACAAGGAATAAAACCAGGATTTCTATCTTTGTGAAAAAGGTGTTGGTTATAGATTTGTTGTTGACTAAACTCTTGTCTATTCAGCTGTTATGGTCCCAGCTGGATTCGTCTGCATATCTGGCAACCTGAGTCAGGGAGAGTGGGAGAGGCTGCAGTACCACTTTTGGCCACATGTTTACAGACTGCTCCTTTAGATTCAAACTTCAAGAATTTATTTACCAATGTGTGCAGCAGAAGCTCACAGCCGAGCCTTTGCCACGCTTTAAAAACAGAGAAACCAATGAACCAATCACAACCACCGCTCTCCCGGCGTTTGCAAACTCTCATCAGACGCTGTGGAGGAAGTGGCTTTAACACAACGATGAGTCAGACCAGAGAGAGTCCTTTTATAAAACAGACCACTGTACAGCGTGTTACCGAACGACAGAAGCTAAGTTCACAATATGCAGCAAAGTTTTAGTCCCGGGAACACTGAAAAATACAGAGGCGTGTCCTGTCGCGTTTACAAAACCTGCTCCTGTCCGTTCGCTCGCAGCAAACGCCACAAAGTCCTCGCTCCAGGCGCCGGTTTGGCCACGAGTCGCCGCGAAAATAAAAAGTCTTGTTTCACGTTGTCCTTTGCAAAATAACTCTAACACTGACAGAGACGCACAAAGCCTACACCCGCCCACGCACACACGGACCGTCCACGCACACACAACACGGACCGTCCACGCACACACAACACGGGCCGCCCACGCACACACAACACGGGCCGCCCACGCACACACAACACGGGCCGCCCACGCACACACGGACCGTCCACGCACACACAACACGGGCCGCCCCACGCACACACGGACCGTCCACGCACACACAACACGGACCGCCCACACGCACACACGGACCGTCCACGCACACACAACACGGACCGCCCACACGCACACACGGACCGTCCACGCACACACAACACGGACCGCCCACACGCACACACGGACCGTCCACGCACACACAACACGGACCGCCCACACGCACACACGGACCGTCCACGCAAACAAAACACGGGCCGCTCACGCACACACGGACCGTCCACGCACACACAACACGGGCCGCCCACGCACACACAACACGGGCCGCCCACGCACACACGGACCGCCCACGTACACACAGACCGCCAACGCACACACAGACCGCCCACGCACACACAGACCGCCCACGCACACTCGGACCGCCAACGCACACACAGACCGCCCACGCACACACGGACCGCCAACGCACACACGGACCGCCAACGCTCACACGGACCGCCCACGCACACACGGACCGCCAACGCACACACGGACCGCCAACGCTCACACGGACCGCCAACGCACACACAGACCGCCCACGCACACACGGACCGCCCACGCACACACGGACCGCCAACGCACACACGGACCGCCCACGCACACACGGACCGCCAACGCACACACGGACCGCCCACGCACACACGGACCGCCAACGCACACACGGACCGCCCACGCTCACACGGACCGCCCACGCACACACGGACCGCCCACGCACACACGGACCGCCAACGCACACACGGACCGCCCACGCACACACGGACCGCCCACGCACACACGGACCGCCAACGCACACACGGACCGCCCACGCACACACGGACCGCCAACGCACACACGGACCGCCCACGCTCACACGGACCGCCCACGCACACACGGACCGCCCACGCACACACGGACCGCCAACGCACACACGGACCGCCCACGCACACACGGACCGCCAACGCTCACACGGACCGCCAACGCACACACGGACCGCCGTTCCGGAAAGAGCACTTCGAGAAACAACTCCAGTCCTTTTTTAGCGAATCTCGTGTTACGATTCCCGGTCGCTGTCATCGCCGCCGTACATGTCGGCGAGTTTCTTGAACCGCGGGCCCCACTCGCTCAGGTAGTTGTAGTCCTGGTCGCCGTCCGTGGTCACCGACTCCAACGAGCTCAAAGACTCCGCCACCGAGCCGTTCCCCTCGTAGGCGTAGGTGGCGAGGGAGTCGTACGGCGGCGCGGTCGGGTCCAGGTCGTTGTCCTGCAGGCGCTGGTTGATGAAGTCTCGTACGTCTCCGTTGTTGTCCCGTGGGGGTGGTAACACGGGGCGTCGGGGGGGCGGGTTGTAGTAGGACTCGGGCACAATGTCGCGGCGCTGCTTGTTCTCGTCGATGGCCTCGGGGTTCCGGAGCGTCCCGATGTCGAAGGCCTGCGTGTCCTCCTCGCCGCCGCCCTCATCGTTGTAGCTGACCACGTTGTCGCGCACGTCCTCCTTGGACACGATCAGCGGCTCCTTCTTACGCTGGCGTCTGAGCGCGGCGAAGAGCACCACGATCACTGCCAAGACAGAGCCAGTTCAGTTTCTACAGAAAGTTACAATATTGTTCAAAAGTAATTTACTTCTAACAACTTGATTTTACAAAGTTCATTCATCAAGGCTCAAATACCAGAGGCTTAAATACCAGAAATATGATCTTTTTAAAATATCTCTCTCTGGTCTCTCTCTGGTCTCCCTCTGGTCTCTCTCTGGTCTCTTTATGGTCTCCCTCTGGTCTCTCTCTGGTCTCTTTATGGTCTCCCTCTGGTCTCTCTCTGGTCTCTTTATGGTCTCCCTCTGGTCTCTCTCTGGTCTCTCTCTGGTCTCCCTCTGGTCTCTCTCTGGTCTCTTTATGGTCTCCCTCTGGTCTCTCTTGGGTCACACTCTCTGGTCTCTTTATGGTCTCCCTCTGGTCTCTCTTGGGTCACACTCTCTGGTCTCTTTATGGTCTCCCTCTGGTCTCTCTCTGGTCTCTCTCTGGTCTCTCTCGGGTCACACTCTCTGGTCTCTCTCTGGTCTCTCTCTGGTCTCTCTCTGGTCTCTCTCTGGTCTCTCTCTGGTCTCTCTCGGGTCACACTCTCTGGTCTCTTTATGGTCTCCCTCTGGTCTCTCTCTGGTCTCTCTCTGGTCTCTCTCTGGTCTCTCTCGGGTCACACTCTCTGGTCTCTCTCTGGTCTCTCTCTGGTCTCTCTCTGGTCTCTCTCTGGTCTCCCTCTGGTCTCCCTCTGGTCTCCCTCTGGTCTCTCTCTGGTCTCCCTCTGGTCTCTCTCTGGTCTCCCTCTGGTCTCTCTCTGGTCTCTCTCTGGTCTCTCTCTGGTCTCTCTCGGGTCACACTCTCTGGTCTCTTTATGGTCTCCCTCTGGTCTCTCTCTGGTCTCTCTCTGGTCTCTCTCTGGTCTCTCTCTGGTCTCCCTCTGGTCTCCCTCTGGTCTCTCTCTGGTCTCTCTCTGGTCTCTCTCTGGTCTCTCTCGGGTCACACTCTCTGGTCTCTTTATGGTCTCCCTCTGGTCTCTCTCTGGTCTCTCTCTGGTCTCTCTCTGGTCTCTCTCTGGTCTCTCTCTGGTCTCTCTCTAAATACTTATAAATAAATTGTCTCCAGCTTTGGTTGACTTCAGCTTCTCCCGTCTGCAGACTGTGGTGGTGTCACACTCGGCCCGTCCTCTCCTGTTCTACAGTCTGTGCTCCGTCCTCTGCTCCTCAGAGCCGTCAGCACCACGGACAGCTCCTTGGCTTTCCTCTGGTGGGATTTGCATTTTGCGCGCTCTCCCTTAGACCCTGTGATCTCGAGTCCTGAATGCAGCAGAATGCACAAGGCCTCCCTCACAGCGCTTTACAAAGTCACGGCGCGGTCCCTGAAGGCCACATCGCACCAAACACTGCGGTCCCGGCGGACACTCCGGCCCGAGAGCTGACAGCGAGGACAGCTGCTTCTAAATCAGGCCCAGAAGGAGCACGGTGCAGGGTTCTGATGTTCTGCTGCGAAACGGTTCTATTCTTAGATGTTTAGAACGACCGACTGAGCAGGACGCTTTAACCGTCACTTCAGTCTGAAGAAAAGTAAACATTAAAGAACACGGCTTATGTAAAAACCTATTTTTTATTTTACAACATTCTTCCCTCAATAACAACAGAGTCCCCCCTTCCCTTCTGTCCAAATGCTCCTGTTTCAAACCTGTCGCTTGAGTCTCTGGTCTCTCTCTCTAGTCTCTCTCTGGTCTATCTCTGGTCTATCTCGGGTTTCTCTCTCTGGTCTCTCTAGTCTCTCTCTGGTCCCTCTCTCTGGTCTATCTCTGGTCTCTCTCTGGTCTCTCTCTAGTCTCTCTCTCTGGTCTTTGTCTGGAAGCAGTTTGCCCAACTCACCTAAAGAACAAAGGCTTTCTACCAGTTGCTCCCTCCCCTCCCTCCCTCCCTCTCCTTCCTTCCCTCCCCTCCCTCCCTCCCTCCCTCCCTCCCTCCCTCTCCTTCCTTCCCTCCCCTCCCTCCCTCCCTCCCTCCCTCCCTCCCTCTCCTTCCTTCCCTCTCCTCCCTCCCCCCCCCCCTCTCCTATAATGTGGTTTGTAACAGCGCGGGAGCAGCTGTGGTCTCATTAAGACCCTGAAGGATGAAGAGAACAATCAGATTATTCTGAAACCGGACGCTCTCCTCACTTTAGGAAACACAGGCTCCGCCCATCTGCCCTTTCCATGAACTGGGAACGCCGTCTCTAACCGTGAACTGGGAACGCCGTCTCTAACCATGAACTGGGAACGCCGTCTCTAACCATGAACTGGGAACGCCGTCTCTAACCGTGAACTGGGAACGCCGTCTCTAACCGTGAACTGGGAACGCCGTCTCTAACCGTGAACTGGGAGCGCCGTGTCTAACCGTGAACTGGGAACGCCGTCTCAAACCGTGAACTGGGAACGCCGTCTCTAACCATGAACTGGGAACGCCGTCTCAAACCTTGAACTGGGAACGCCGTCTCTAACCGTGAACTGGGAACGCCGTCTCTAACCGTGAACTGGGAGCGCCGTCTCTAACCGTGAACTGGGAACGCCGTCTCAAACCGTGAACTGGGAACGCCGTCTCTAACCATGAACTGGGAACGCCGTCTCAAACCTTGAACTGGGAACGCCGTCTCTAACATGAACTAGGAACGCCGTCTCTAACCATGAACTGGGAACGGCGTCTCTAACCATGAACTGGGAACGCCGTCTCTAACATGAACTAGGAACGGCGTCTCTAACCATGAACTGGGAACGCCGTCTCTAACATGAACTAGGAACGCCGTCTCTAACGATGAACTAGGAACGCCGTCTCTAACCGTGAACTGGGAACGCCGTCTCTAACCGTGAACTGGGAGCGCCGTGTCTAACCGTGAACTGGGAACGCCGTCTCAAACCGTGAACTGGGAACGCCGTCTCTAACCATGAACTGGGAACGCCGTCTCAAACCTTGAACTGGGAACGCCGTCTCTAACCGTGAACTGGGAACGCCGTCTCTAACCGTGAACTGGGAGCGCCGTCTCTAACCGTGAACTGGGAACGCCGTCTCAAACCGTGAACTGGGAACGCCGTCTCTAACCATGAACTGGGAACGCCGTCTCAAACCTTGAACTGGGAACGCCGTCTCTAACATGAACTAGGAACGCCGTCTCTAACCATGAACTGGGAACGGCGTCTCTAACCATGAACTGGGAACGCCGTCTCTAACATGAACTAGGAACGGCGTCTCTAACCATGAACTAGGAACGCCGTCTCTAACCATGAACTGGGAACGCCGTCTCTAACCGTGAACTGGGAACGCCGTCTCAAACCGTGAACTGGGAACGCCGTCTCAAACTATTGCGGTTGCACAGAATTTAGAGATTTCCCAAAAATGCTATGTCGACTTTTTTTTCTTCAAAATACCTCCAAAAATCTTTTAAAAATAAAATGGAATCCATCTGAGAATCATTTAAAGCATCAATGACTGGGCTCTTTGTGAAGCTGCAGGTCTGTAGTTTTGGCCTCTGAAGACTCATTTACTCTGGTTATAAGTAGGACCAGAAAGAGAAACTAGGGAAAGAGACCAGCGAGAAAAACCAGGGAGAAAGACCAGAGAGAGAGACCAGAGAGAGAGAGACCAGAGACAGACCAGTGAGAGAGACCAGTGAGAGACCAGAGAGAGACCAGAGAGAGACCAGTGAGAGAGACCAGAG